AGAACTGTGCGCATTTCTGATGAGCATGCTGATTTTTCATACTTAGCACATTAGCAAAAATGTAGCCTGACTTGCACTGTCATTTTTTCCAAGTGTAGTCAACAAGTCCCAATCACGGGCAAAGTGGTTTATTTTTTTTTTTAAAGAAAGGGCTTTGAAAATAAGAGGTAACCTGAATGCGATAGAAGACGTTCTAACTTACATTACTCATAACAAATATGTGATGATGTGGAATGGTATAAATTCCCCCAGCACAAATTTGGGATGGCTGCGTGACTCACAGTTGGCTGAGCCATCAGTGAATTTATGCAGTTCATCCTCAACGAGCAGTCTACCGTACCACTGCAAGGTCTATGTCCTGTTACAGGAAAACTCAAACCATTTAAGAACGTTTTTAAAAAGGCCTGAAAAAATTCTCTCCTTCCACTTACTATGCCAAGTACTTTTGTTCTACTGGGAGAAAGTGAGGAAAATGCAACTATAGGTTAAGATTGTTTTGTAAGAGCATCAAAGTCCCACGCTTGGGTCCTTTCAGGGCTAGTAAAGGCTGCAAGTTCCAGCGGACAGCAAGAATCTTTTCTCTCCAGTTACGTTTTTCCCATGGATTGACAGATGAAACACCTTAAATCTGGCAGGCCTGAATATTGCACATCTTGCATTGTGATTTGATTGGACTTTTGAGAGGCCATATTGTGTCACTGGGTGGCCAGGGCAAGGAATCCAGAGGTGGACTTGGGATAAAGTCAAGGAGGTGACAAGAGGTTATGTAAGACTAAAAGATAAGGGAAAAATAAGGGGATGCCAAAGATATGACTGGAGCAAGCAGCCCCCAGAACTAGGGAAAGCAGCAGAGCATAGGTTAATCAGCAAGAAAAGATTATATTTAAAATGTCCACAGGCCTGACTCAGCACTTGAGATGTAGGCAGGACTGACTGTTGCTAGAATGGGTGTTACTCATCACATTCCTCACCGTGGTCTTCTTCAGCTGCTAGGCACCACTGTCTTTTCTAACAGCAACGCGCAAGCTGATTTCACAGGTACGCACCCATGTGCTCACTTTTCACAAGGACAGAACTGTGAATAAACCACACAACCTACACGCTAGTCACATCACTTACCGACCTACAGAAGAGCCCTAGATCCATAGTAAAACAGCCTGCCGAAATGTAAAGAATATACTCCCAAAATAGAGTACCGTGGATGAAGAGCCAGCGTTTTTCTATTTGAGGTCACTCATGGTTCTAAACTGTAAAACGTGTGCTTTTCAAATGCATTTTACTGCATTCCTTTAAGCACATGTATACAGCGGTTATCAGTACAGTATCTGAGCATCACCACAAACAACATTCTTGTTTCAATTCTTTAAGAGTTCCAGGCAACACAACGACGACTGAGCGAGTTACCGAGTTAAGTGTTTTCCATACCTGACATCAGGTGGACACATGCTGTCATTATGGCTCACCTTCAAAGAGCTGCAGCATCCACCATTCTAGTCACACGTTTAACTAGGTGCTTGAGCATTTTGTTGTTCAAAGTTTAATTTTGAACATTATTTTAATTTGACATTTTCCTTTAAGCTAATAAATATAGCCTTGAAGAAAATACTCCTTACTGACTACTGTTCTGAGGAAAAAGAGACAAACTGGTCTGGTATATCGGTCTCCTTGCATTTTCTTCTCCTTCTTTTGGAATTGTAACTTTCTTAGGCTGTGCTGATCTGTCTAGAATTGGACGGCTTTATAACAAGCTTCCAGGAACTGGCAAAGCAAATGGAAGAAAATACTGGACTTGAGAGAAAACAAGTAAGTCATCCCTTTGCGCTCCTGATGATGTTCTCTGCGTTGTTCTTACACATTACTCCACGATCAAGATTACCTTGTGATTATCCTGAAAATATTCCCAGCACTCGCAGTCGTTACTTCATCATCTCTCTTGATTTGACAGGATGGACCAAATAAGGAACTACTGCCCCTGAAGAGCTTTTAGAGTGTAAAAATTACACATTTTGAACAGCCATTATTCATATTACAACACCGAAATGTTTTATGAACTACGCTGCTAAAATAATGAAATCCCCTGGGCTTCATTTAGAATAGCCTAGTGCCTTTGATCTCACTTCTACCTCTCTAAAATGGCACTAATCATCACTTCTGAACATGAGAAAATAATGATTATATGCAAGCAACTGTGAAAACTCACATGGGTTCAGTGGTGCAGCTTGTACTTCTGTAGCAGTGCCAGCTTACCTCTCTGAGATAACAGCTCCACAGGCTATGCGGCAGAGAAAGCATTACCTCCTCTGAATGAAGGCACCTGCGTACGACGTAATAGCGATGCATGGAACTAGGACAACAGATATTTGCACAGTTTGGTTTGGTACTGAGCACCCACGTTGAGAGCTGAGAGGCTTGAAAGGCGCAGCTGCTGGCACAACAAAAGTCACGTCACTTTGCTCGAAGGCAGCAGCATACAGCTCTTACACAGAATCACACTTTGGCTCTGGCCCACCGAGATAGACTCCAAGTGGGAAAACAACACGTTCAGAGCGCATGGCTGTTTTGTACATCCAGCAAATGTCCAGAAATAAGTGCATATAAAGTGCATATAAAGGAGGAAGAACTGGATCCCATGCCTTTTTGCTGGATGTCTGTGGCTCCTGACACATGCAATAGCAATTTAGGTGGATAGAGTGCAAAAAATAACCACCCCCTCTCCCCTTTTAAGATGGGACCTCACCAAATCATCGTATTTAAACTCTGCCACTGATACACATATGCGTTTGCCTGCCTTTGAAACTCAAAAGCTAGAGCAGGTGCTGCATTAGGGAAGATCAGCCCTGATGTGAAAGGAGAAAGATGCTGCCTAGGAGGCGACTTACCTGAGAGACCAGTGCAGAGCTGCTTGCTTCAGAAAGGACAACTGCAGGCACGGGCTCGGTTTTAAGCCCCCATGATAGAACATGGTTCCAGTGGAAAATACTCCTCCTTAAAGTCCATATCTTGACAACTGAAGCAGACAAAAGAGCAAACAATATTCTATAGGAAATGATCTTCTGTTGATTTGGCAAGTGCAGTGCACAAGATGACCAACGACAAGGACACTCTCCCAGACTACCTCCTAAACCAACCTGCCTCCAAATCTCTCTACTTTCACAAATTGCTCACTACCTAGGAGCTATTAAAAGGTTTATTTTGTGCAGTCCAGGAACAATTTTAAGTTAATGGAGATTTTTTTAAAACCTTCTAAATAAACAAGCAACCATTTTAACAGAAAATTATTTCCTTCTCCTAACAAAAAATAGAACAAGTTTAATGGATTATTTTTCTCACTCAACACAAAATTTAGTTTCTGGCAATTTTTTTGGCAAGAAAATGTTGCCAAAATGTCCTTTTTAAATATCACTTTACTATTTGACTATTTTCATCATGAAAGTCAATATGTAGAAATTATCAGTTCTGATTTCTTCTTTCCAGCATGTAATTCAAACAAAAATCTGTATAACTAATGTAAGCACACGTAACAGAAACAAAGACAAGCAGGGTGGCTGAGTAAGCAGATACCACTTCCTCAGGCATACTGGAGAGTACACCCACAGTTTAAGACTATTAAATATAAAACAATTAGAAGTAGTTACTATACTAGACGGAGGTTAACATACCATGTTAAATTCTTTATATATAGCTATTTTTAAAACACCACCACAACATGCACAGTGGAGCAATACTGAAACAGAAGTCATATCAAGTCATACTGCTGTATTCATTGTGTATTTCAGAAGAACGTAAAGGCACTAAAAGACAGCAATGGCTATGGTCTTACACAGCTAAAAGGGACTGGAGTAAGGGCAGCCTTACTAAGGCCAATTTCAGATAGTTCCTGCAGAAATGACTGAGCTGATTTAATACATCACTGTCCTGCAACTTTGTGCAGCTAGGTCTCTGCTAAGGCTACTGTGCCCCTGGCTAAGTCACCAGAGCAACTCCCATGAGTGCTCTTCCTCTACTGCTACACAAATTTGGTCAACTGGGTTTAAACAACATTCAGAAAAGGTTTAAGTTGAGGTCAAACAAAAAACATGTCTCTTGTGCAGGCCCTGCCGCTCACAGGAGGCTCCCTGAGGTCGCGGGTGACAAAACCCATGTCCTGATCCTGCTGACTCCAGGCCTGGGGCTGCAACAAGCAGCCAGGGAGCCACTAACATCTGCACCTGCCCAGCTCTTTCTGCAGTGACCATCTGATCATGGCTCAAGTTTTAACTCAGAACTTACTAGATTTTCTCTCTTTAAAAGGCATTTTGTGACTTTAACATTTACTTATATAAAACTGTTCTTATGCAAAGAAAAATCAGCAGAGCCACCTATTTCACGAAAAACAAGTGTTTATCAGAAAGATTTCAGGAAAACAATGCCTTTAAAGCATGAGTACATAAAGGCAAGGAAAACTAAATTATCAGTAAGTGATGCTAAGGGGCTGCTTTTATTTCTGATCCACACGTTTCTGCTTTTTTAAGTGCATAAATGTTTCGATCGTCAATATTTCTTATTCTTTCCTTCCTCAATGCAGGAAAAATCCGTCTTACACATTAAATACTCCACATGCTATGCACACTATGAAATTATGTATTGTACACATGGCATATTTTTACTCAATGCATTACAAACTTCAGTAATAAAGGTCACCCTTCTTACAACTGAGATTAAAACATGATTCCTGATTCTCATTTGCATGAAGAGTTGCTGGCGCTGTATAAAGGTTCTCTAGTGTAAATGAGAATCACAAAAGGAAAGTGGGTCTGATACTACATGTTTCTATTAAAGTGATTCCACTACTACAATAACGCAATCTTAGAAATCCAGGATGAAAGTTAAAGTCGTAAGGTAATTTTGTTTTCTATAATCAAAGAAAACAGGGAGGAGAAGCAAAGGGGAAGAAAAACCAAATCAGTTTGCTATGTCTCAAAACAAATATTTAGATATTTAATTATTGAAATTATCCACTTTAGTTCTTGCACACATGCCTTCGTCCTTCTCATTAAGAAAGTAGATTTTGTCTGAAAGTATCTAACATGAAAAATACTGCTAAGTCTATTCATAAAACAGTATTCTGTATTTTTATTTTTCAAACAGCAAGTGACCACATTTAAAATGCATCATTTGCAAATATAAATTATCAAACTATTAGTTTAATTAAAAATAAAGCAAAAACATAACTTCCCTTAGTATCATGATACATAGAAGGGTATTATAAACCCAAAATGACTAAGTTAACCATAAGAAAACAGTAATGTCAAAAGCGCTGAAACTCATTTAAGTCACGTAATGAATAAATCAATTCTAAGAATACAATACCATTCACCATGATCATGTAAAACGCAATCTTTCATTGTATTATACAGATAAAACAATCCAATCCTTCATGCCATATTTTGTAAACCATGATATAAATTACACTCACAGTCAAATGAAAAGGAAGATTAACTTCCGAAATATTTTAAGTTGCTTTTAGGGCAGAAATAAAGGCTGAAATAGAATCATTTAAAATATATCAAGTTCAACCAAAAAGTTCATTTGGTCAAGCCTGCTATCCAAATAGTTTTGTTTCCTGCAAAACTATTTTTGTCTTTTTGAATTGATTACGAAATTTATATGGTTTTTGTTTTTTTACATATTACATGTAAGCCACGTCTTGAACTACAGCAAATCCTTTTGTATTTGAATCGGTTTTGCCATGAGACCCAAATATCCTTCATATACATACATACACGCACGCACGCACGCACACCCCCACACTTTGTATCAGGAAATTCCTCATTTCACAGGAATAAAGAAAGACTCACCTACTGCTCTCTGTCAGAAACATAAGGAATATACAAATTCATACTTCTCAGGTTCCTACAAAGCCATCTGTTGCCTATATACAGAGTTTTACTGATGGAATTCACGTTATGATCTTTTTTGTCATTTTAATTTTTACACTGACAATAAAGGGACGGAATTGATATTGTAGAATAAAGAAATACTGGATAATCATTGAAATAAACCTATAATCCTGCCAAAAAATTATCTATAAGGATTTTTTTTTTATTAGCTGAAATACAAAGGCGGCATATGGACTTAAGGAAAATAACACTATATCAGAAATTCCACTGTAACAGTTTTCCACTATATATATCATCAGGTTTTTCATAACACATTTATTTTCTCCTGTACACTAGATTTTGTACTAATTTCTCTCTCTTCAGATTCATCATATTTCCATATTCAATTCAGCACTACATAGTATGCCTTCAAAATAAAAGGAGGTCACTTGCTTTATTGCATACCAAGTTCCCTTCCAGACAGCATTAAAAGAAAGACAAGACTACACAGACAAAGTCCAGTATAATTCATTTCTGACAATGAAAATTCCAACCCCTCATACTGTTGCAAAATTCCTCCTACTGAAATGCTTTACTACAATAATAAAAAGCATACATTACATATAAAAGATACCAGTGTACTAAAAGTGACAGAAGTGGACTAGCAAATCCTTCAAAGCACATATTATATAAATGACTAGCATTTAAAAACATTTTTTTCTATAAAACGTAGGTCATATACATTTATAAATTGGGGGTGGGGAGGTTCTAAAGCAGTGATGACTGTGTTCAAATAGTTATGCTGCTCTGTACAGTCTAATACCTACTCAATTCAAACGGTAAGTTTGATGTTTTAGTAATCAAATAAAACCATCTCATCATCTCGTAACTCATAATTTGAAAAATAAGCAACCCAAATGAAATGTGACTTGTAAGTTTCACTGTTTATCTGCACATGAAATAAGACGAGAACTACTCCTTTCTACTGGAGGCCCAAGTCTCATGAGTTCAGTATCGGGACTTAAAGACTCCAAATTTAAGTAGAGGAATTGTCAGGAATCAGCACAGAAGCAGAATAGTATCTCTCATCCTTTAGAGACAGAGCTATTCAACTTTTGCAGTCTTCCTCATCTTGCAGAAGTGCAGCCAAGCCATTCATTTCTTACTCAAAGTGTGTACGGATGAAGCCATAGATCTAAAGACTGTCCCCTCTGCGACTGAAATTGTGCTGTGTAAACAACGTTATATACTCCAGCAGGAGGACATTTGAATTTATTTATAAAAAAATGATTAAGAGTATTCATTAACTCAAACAAGGCTATTAACTCCAAAAGTATTTTTGGAACTATCCTTATGCTACTTGTAAAGTTAGCACTGTCCTGTATTATTGCTTACAAACAGTACAACATCATATGCCTTCTAACAGAGCGGTACTGTGATCAGTTCGTATGTATTTACAGGATTTGTTTGTTTTTTAAACAAGCTATAAAAACATTACATACTTTACAGACAATACAAATTTCCACATTTGTACTTAATTCAAACAAATGGAATGCATAACAATAATAAACATCATAAAGGAAGACTGACATAAGTCCTTGATTGTCAAGACACATTTATATTTATATATAAACTCTAACTGTGCAGAATCAAAGATTCAATCATAGGTACATCCTTATTTGATAAATCATATTTACAGCATGATATTGCATAAAAAAATAAAATAATGTTGTTTACACAATATTACCTTTCCATCCATTGGATTAAGGAAAGCAAGAAACAACTCTTAGAAACGTTTGCTTGCCTCAGTTTGTTTCCTACCAAAAGATACGATTTTAAAAAGGAAACATAAGGTTTTATATGCAGAGTTTTAGCAAAAGCAACTATAAATTTATTTCCCTGACACAAAGCAATTTAAAATGGAACAAAAGTTTAAATTTTAACTTAAAGACGTTCCTTTTCATTAGCAGTAATACTTTCTTAGTACTTGTCCTTTGCAACGTGAGCTTTAGCTAAATGCATTACATGCCTAACATAAACATGCATTACCATAAGTTGAATGAACTTTCAAAGTTACAAGGCTTCATTTTAGCAAAACATTTAAAACTAGGAAAGTGTAACATTATTCACTGCTTCAGTACCAAACATGTAATTTGAAAGTTCCCATGTGTACTGGTACCAACTGCATAAGCATATTTCTGCCTGTTAAAATTTCCAAATGGTTTCCCAGGAAAATTAGGATTTTCCCTGCAATTTGCAATCGTATTTAAACAAGCAAACGAACAAGAATAAAAATCAAAATCCTTATAAACAAAATTTAGTTAGCAAATATACATACGTAAAGAAATCCAATGCTGCAAAATTTAGGGAGGATTCATCCAAATATTCTGGTTCATTTCAAATAGTTACTACATATGATACAAATACTATAAAAATACTTTGAACAAGCATGGAATATATTGTATATGTCCAGGTGGAAAGTTTTCATAGGAGAACACAAATTCTTCAGAATAAACTCCAAAAGTTACAGTAGAACCCCAATAATTCGCAGCAATGACTTAGAAACCCTTCACAAATCACAATTTTGAAAATAGTGAAGAAGCAGGCAAGAAAAGCAAGGATGTCACATCACAAAACATACTTTCTTCGTTTATTTTGACAATTGTAATTTAGTTTTTGATGTTTCTTGTACCTCCCAGTATACTAATATAGATTCTGTAGTATACTTGGGTGAAGCAATACAGGATCCCTAATACGAGACCTCACTACAGTATTTTTTAGAACTTTGCAGAGAGGTGGGGAGAGACCATCATGGATGTGCAAAACTTACTGGATGCTCTGATTAACAGTCAGCGAATTAGCAAGATTTTACTGTATCTCTCATTTAACAATTAAAAGCTACCTTCATCCCCAAAATTGACAAGTACAATATAAAAGTAAGGGAAGTGTTAATCCACATGAATATTTTGTTGTCCTATTTTCTTCTGGAACCACAGTTTTCCTTAAGACAACACTAGAAGACACAAGATCATAAACATAGTTCTTTTATCACTCAATTTAAAATTTTTATGTGGTTACTCATAATTCAACATACAGTGATGCATATTGTTATCCTTCTCCCCAAAGCTTGTAGTTTATGATTAATTCACCACTCTCAAATCAAATGAAGAAAATGTAAATGCTTATTAGTATACCATTACAAGCCAATTCCTTCATTGCCTGTTATATCAACGGTAAAACATATAAAAGGACTCATGCTAAAAGGGACACTGTCAAGTAATTTAGGTTCAAAATGTGGCCTATTCATATATGTTTGTGTGTATGCATATATACATATACACGCACACACATACATACGTATATAGAGAGGGAGTTTGTTAACAGATGCTATCAATTTCCTATTTTTTAAATCAACCTTTCACTATCAGTAGGAGATACCCACAAAAAAAGAGTCACCTTACACACACACATTCAGCGCTTGCATGACCTATAACCTTCTACTCTTAGCTCTGTAGAATACAAACGCTATGCCCAAACTTATGGTGACTGAATATCAGTACGTGAACAGAAAACCAAAGCCACTTTCTTTCCACCTCTTTCAGCTTAAATGGAAAACGAACGAAAATGAACATTGACCAGATCAGCACGAAGAGTGTGCAACCGTAGCAGGATAAAAGCAGCAAAACACGAGCAGCGGAAAACGTTTGAAAATAATGTCATCGTTAAAAAAGCAAGAGCTTTTTACACAGAGAAACCTCCCAAAATGACATACACGCTCATCCCAGAATAAAAGGGTATGTACTCAGGAAATTATAGCAGTATATTTGGTTAACTCCTCCATACAGAAAGCTTCAAGCATCAATAGATTAACTATGCACACCACCACTGTAATCATACGTGTGAAAGAACCCTACGAGAGAGCCGCTGTGGGCTAGACGGGGACTTCACAACCTGTCCTAAGGCACAGAGGATAGGTGTAATGGCTCAGCAGCAGACTAGAAAACAAACTGTGACATGAGGAATAACGGTTCTTCAGATGATTCCCATTTTGCTCTGGGGAAGAGCAAGTTCTTTCACTCTGTACAGTAACTTGCTCAGGCACCCAAGCTGCAGTTTTCAGTGTGAAGAGGGCATGGACAGAGAGCTACTCCTTCCTATTCCTCTAGCACTTTCTCACATCAGAGTAGCAAAGCAATAACTTTTAAAAATAAAGCTGAATCAATCTGCAAGCAGGCTTCATTCCCTCCTATTTCCCTATGGGGCCAGATGAGTGCAGTGGTAACCTAGCCCCAACTTACTTTATTTCTTTTTTTTTTTCGGCTTTTGTTGCTTGTCGTATTTAACAAATAGTGCCATTAATGACCAGCTATTTGCAAGGACAGGACACTAGAACGAAGACATCAACACAGCATTATTCAGGCAGCAAAAGCCAAAATCTCCTGGAGATGAACGATGACAAGGAAACATGCTTTACAAGAGGTGGCTTCCTGGGATACAGGGGCCATATTTATTACGCCTGTGCAAGGAAGGATGCAAGATCAAAAAAAAAACAAACTGATCATAAAGGAAGAAAAACAAATAGACATGAATCAGATGAAAAATATTCTTTCAAAGAAATTTCCTTACACGAATCATTACAAATCCATATGGGATTTACTATTCTCCCTTGATGTTCATTCTTCTTAACTCAGGGACAAATCTGCAAACCAAATAACTGGTAAGCGATAGCATGCAGGAACACCTTCCTATGTTATACACCAGGTATACAATGTCAATGAATCAAATAGTATCTGTTTTCTTATAGAAAAGTATTAAGAAAGAAGTTAGGTAAGTTAGGTTTCTTGACAATGCAGGAAACAAGCCACAGATTACAAATGCACTTTCTTCCTCAACTGTACCAAGTGAAATTAGTGCACTATTAGCCATACCACATTGGAAAAGAGAGAAGGTTCACAGAGATCAGGTTCCTAACAATAAAACTTAAGAAAAAATATTGCTACTACTTTGGGAAGAGGTGGGGAGTGTTGTGTTCCGACTCAAGTCCTTTTAAAAGACAGAATATATTTTAGCCTCTTGGGATGCAGATTTTTCTACTAGCTGATGGCTTTACTTGAGAGACACCAGGTAGTGATAGTGCTGTGAAAGGATGTATGCATCCCTATTAAAAAAAAATAATTATATATATATATATATACACATATATGTGTGTGTGTGCGTGCATGGGTTTCCCTGGTTAATCAGCCTTTGCTAGGCTTAAACTGCCTTAAACTACCAGACAGTGTCCCTTTAGGGAAGGTGCAATAGAATGAACATACTGTTCAAAAATCTGTAAATTGTTAACTTAAACTACACAATAGTTAAGCTACTCAAATCTTACAACCTTAAAAATGCACACAGAACTACTTATCGTACCATACTGTATACTTCAAGACAAAGTACTAGTCAAAAAAACATATTCATGGTACAGGGATAAAGTTTGTAGTTTATTTATATTGTGAAATGCAATGAAAGCTTCTGATCACTCATCTATGCTCAAAAAGAAATTCTGTCCACTAGCATTATTCAACAGTTTCAGTTGGTAAAATTGTAATGAATTTCACTATGAAAACACTAAAAAGATACGCAATTTGAATGCCCACTTCTTCAACTTTTTGGGATAATTCAGCAAATTTAATTATCTGAATTGTCAAAATTCTAGACACAGAATTAAAATAGTTTTTACAGAAGCTAAGAATATCCAATCTCAATTTGTATTAAAATAATTGGAGCTGTATGAGATGACAATGATGCAATCATATCAAACCTAAAAATCTAAAATAGCTTTATTTTTTGAGAAATCAAAAACTATCAAATAGACTAAGTGCTCTATGTTAATCATTATGAATATGTAGGGTAAGGTACAATTAAGCTTTTAAATCTTGGAATACACAGTTTGTGTAAGCATTATGTAATTGGGAATGTCATCTACGGAGTATTTCAACTAAAACTTCAAAATCTTGATATCTGCATATGAAAAAGTCATTAAAAAGTTACATCTAGATTCAGCTGTACAAAGAAATACACATTACTTCAGGAATGAAGTAAAGGCATTAGCAGTTAGGTATTTGGCTAAAAAAAAGTGTTTAAAATATTTTAAATTAATTAGGCTTTTAAATAGTAGAGTTAGTCTATCAGAATTTATTTTCTCCTCCACAAACAACTCAACGTAATGCAAAGCAAAAATAAAGGGCAAATGGTCTAAAATTATTTCTGACGAAGATGGAAGAAAGGATCTTCTTCTAGAAAATGCCATCTTTTAAAGCCATAATTGCTTGACCTTGAAACTTATAGTTTATTCTGTCGGTTTAGTATGTGTTGATTCCCTGCTGAAGAGCAATGAGTATGCTGACAAGCTTAGAAATGACAATATGAATAATATCAGACAATAACTGTCCTCCCAAAGCATACAAGGAAACCAGTTAGGAAATAATCATGGGGGAAAGTCTTACCTGGGGATTTTGTTTATTTTAAATTTCATAGAAGGTAAAATAGTTTCTGTATTCAAACAAGTGAATAATAAACTGCCTTTGATAGGGGCAACAACATCAGGCAGTTCAATGACTGGTGACTAACCAAAAAAAAAAATAAAAGCAGTTATTGGTCTTGCTAATATCAGCTTACTTTTGTTTTAACATATCGCTCTTAAAAGCTGTACAGAACTCCGTCTTATACAGAGCAACCCCGTTTCGACAAATGTGTTCTAAAGTGCCAGTATTATTTACAAAGATTTCTTAGCCAAAAGTCTGGCCCGTTGTGGCATCAGGTGAAGAAGTCATCCCAGCTCTACTGTCATTTACATTCACCAATGGAAATTCTGGGAATTCAGCACTTGTCCCTGGTCCCCGAAGGTTCACCTGTCCATTGGCAGTGCTAAACTGAGATGATATGCCAGCTCTTGCCCCATGGTACTGAGCTCTGAAGGGTTGCTCGAAGGAGCTAATTTGATACGCTTGATGAACAGGCTGTGCCTCTGCCTTCTTCTGAGAAGTTACTTGATCCAAAAAGTCCTGTGTAGAGGATGAGGAAGAATGATTTGCCTCATCACCTGAAAAGGGAAAAGGGTGCTGCGATTCACCAACCATTAGTCCAAAATGAGACTTGTCTGGAGTTGTTCTTAACGGGGAGTTCATTCCCGATCGAAAGCTATTGACCGGTATAGACGTGTAGACCTGTTTTTCTATGGAAGGAAATGCTGGCTGGGTTGTAAGAGTCTGGTTATCAGTCACAAAATTAAGGCTTGGGTTGTTCAAATAGGCATCATTTTGGCTAGTTCTGTCCAAAGCTTGTTGTAAAAACTTTGAATATTCCTGTAACATACTAGCTTTATCTGATGAGGAAGCCTGAGAGCTTGTTCCAACTGTCTCAGATGGGGTTACCTCAGATACTTCAGAAGAATTGATTGATATACTGGAGGTCACCTCAGTGTCAGCCACACTGAAAGATATTTCATGTTGTCCATTAGCCTTGTGCGAGTAATGATCTAACAGGGTTTGCAGTACCTCATCTGGAATGACATTTTTGTCATGGTTACCTTTAATTTCAACATTCAAGGCCTGTGTGTCTAATATTGATGCTGTAGCAGCTTCATCAATGACGCTTGCCACAGCTGCCTGTGTTACCGAAGGCTGAGATGCTATGGTACTTACATTCAAGGCATATTCTCTACTGTTATTACTAGCTGCTTGTAGATACCTCTTTTTCTTTAAAAACTGCATTGCATCATCATAATTAGTGCTGCTGTGTACTGGTTTACTGGGCCCTTCTTGTAATGTATCCACTTGATCGATGTCAGCATTACCCTCAGAGTCCAGTAAACCTTGTTTATCCACAAGATCAAAGGCATATTTTGAAACCTTGTTGTCTTCATATGTAGATAAAGGTGAAATGGTTTGACTTTGCTCAAGTGGCTGTTTCAGACTCCTCTTGCTGTTAACTTTCTTGAGAACCAGCTTAGGTGGGTGTATTTCTCCAGAATTTGCTTCTTCTAAGTGCGTCCCACCGACAGAAGAATGTGGCATCTCAACGGCATACTCCGCTACCATATATTCATCTTTCACTTTAGTACTAGCAGAGTACAAAGGCAAATAGTCATTTTTGTCCTTCTTCTGTTCTGACTTATCTGTACTTTCCTTATCCACAGATTTTGTTTTCTCTGTTTTCTGCCTCTTCTTCTTTGGCAAGGAGCTGTCTTTCATAGGTGTAGAGAAACCAGAATCTTCCTCTGATGGCAAAAAGCCAACTTTGGTGGCACTTCTGTTCGGTTTCTTGTCACGGTTCTCATGGCACATACGTTTATGTTTCAGCACACGATCAGTCCTGGAGAAATACTGCAGCAGATTTTTTTAATTAGAGAAAAATAAATATATTAGCAATAGAAAAAGAAATCCTTGATTCTAACAACTTTACTTCACAGTTCGTTCACTTTACCAACTTCTAATGAACCGTCACACAACACAGCGTTGTCTGAAGCATCAAACAAAAACTATAAAATCAAGTAGAGACAGTTGTAACTCTGCTCCACCTGCACACCAAGATAGCCTACCATAACAGAAAAAACACATTCTTTTGAAAGTTTATATGTATGCACATAACTGCAACATCTGGATAAATTCCCATGTGTACTACTGAAGAACTGAAAGGTGTTCTATATGAAAAGTTTCACTAAATCTTCTTACCTGCAAACAATATTCACACTGGTAAGGCTTCTCTCCACTGTGCGTTCTTTTGTGCCTTTCCATGTGATACTTCTGAATAAACCTCATACCACATTCATCACAACGAAATGGCTTCTCACCTGATAAAAAACACGTATCAATATTAATCTAAACAAAATAAATTCTCAAAAAAAAGTTTTTCCATACAATTTTCAGGTAAAATATTAGTTTCTATTGGAAGTAATAAAGAAAAGGATTTAGTCTATTGAAAAAACAACTTAGGGCTTGCTCATGTCACAGTTTTCTTAGGACTCAGTACGGTCTGATGATTCAAAATAATCATAAAAGCAGAAAAAAGGCATTTAGACCAAAAAAGCTTTAAGAAACTAAATTCTCTCCCTCTCTTTCTAATATGGTTACAGACACGTCTCTTTAACCTAACAAATGAAGAACTACAAAGACAGACAGATATCCTTCCTACACTGTTGCTACATATCCTTTTACGACAGAAGATGATATAAAACACCTTCATTCTCTCATCAACTTAGATAACACAGTCCCATTTTTTTGTAGAAAATAATTATGTATTTGCAAGCTTTCAATTTAAGGTACTTGCAGGGTTCTCTGTACTTTACTTTTTTCTTTCCTGATATCTGCATGCAGAACTGAAGTAATTGCTCCAGAAAAGTCTTATTATTTTGGCTGGAAATCCTGAGTTGTTCTTATTAGGAAAAGGGAGCTGAAAACAACAAATCTCTGCAGCTAAATTGATCCAGGGTAATTGAATTATTTTTCCATCTGATATTTTTACTTTCTAGGTTTCTCTGATGAACTCTAAAAATTCTAAACATCTGAAAAGTTAGTTTTGCTCTTACAGAAATTCACTGTTATTCAACAGAACTCATCCTGAATAACAGTAATCCTACCTCTTAATATTATTATAGAATCTTTTGAGTTGATGTAGAGATTATGAATTCTCCTGATAGCATCTGCCAACATCCTCTTTGTTCCGGACGCTGTATTGCTCTGATTTTTGGCATAGAAAACATCTATCTTTTGTTTCCAGAAATATGCAGATTATTTTTCTCAATTTTTCTGAGGTAATAAGACATAATATTCTTTTATTTTTCAAATTATTTAATTTACTATTATGAACACGTATATTCTCTATTTAGAATAGTGATATTTAGCCATATCCTCTCCAAGTAGAAATACAGTTGATATGACTACACCTTCAAGTAAGGTGTTAGTATCTATAGAAACTACAGTGGAGAATATCTGTCTGCACATTTGCCCCTAGACAGATCATTAACACCCAAAGTTTTGACCTTCTTAACTCCAGGCAACTTCTAAATCTCCCTCTTTCTAAGCCAATGCCCTGTTTCCAATTATTAATTCTTACCGTTCCGTATGGCTTCTCAATTAATCCCTTCCTGGATGACCTGTGGCCATCTCCAAGTTATCCTCTCCTAAAGCCAATGATCTTCTCTCCTAAGATCTCTGAGATCCATCAGTAGTTTTTTTTCTACAGGTTTCTACTGGTGTTGTGACACCAGTATCCTAATTCTTCCTTCACATTTAGTCCAGGACTAACCTCGGCCATTTCTTATTAACAACCACCATAAAATCTTGGGGTTTTTTGCACCCTCTATATATATATTATAACACTTAACTACCATTTCATTATCTCTTGTACTGACTGTAATAAAATTCTCCTCTTGGAGAATTTTAGGTAGGCCTATTTCCTACCTGTCTAACTCCAGTTTCATTCTTCTTTTCATGTTCTCTTTATTCATCAGACACACTTACTAGTACAGTGTTTTATTTATACCAAGCCTGCTGAGACTTTCTGAATCAAATTCAAATCCCTATCTTCACTTGTAAAGAAGATGAGGTAACTGTTTCAGGTCATCTTTGTTCTAGTCTTATACACCGAACCATTCCACTCCCAAAGACTACTTTTTACTCCTTTCCACTTAGTCCTTTCTTTTCCTTTGTTCCACTCTTCCACTTTGTGCGTCCTTTATACTGCCCCTTCAAAGAATTTTCCTTATGTTGTCTGCAAGTTGCTTTCCCACTCTCTAAAACCTTTCTTAGAGAAACACACAGTAGCTTGGGATGAAGACTACTCTGAGTCTTACCAGAACCCACACCAGGTCAGAGAAGCAAGAAAGAGAGCTCAGTCTTATCCTAGCTTTGAACAGCCCTCCAAAGGAGCCCCCCAGCTATCCCAGGAAGGCTAGAATACAGAATGATTCAAAGATACACTTACCTTCAGCCTTATACCCGTTTTTGTCATACGGTCATAGAGGCCTCAGTATCGTTCTACTTAAGCTAGTTATTTACTGGCAGAAGATCCTACTATCTACCTATTTCTCTTTTCACAGCTTCAGCAGGGTCAAGTAGAGGTTTTCATTTTTTTCTTTGTAGAGTATTACCACCAGCAATGATAAAGATAGCAGATACATACCTCTGGCAGCAGCAGCTTATGTGTCTGTGCCAGATCACGCACCACTTTGAAATGGCTTCCATACAGTGTGGAAAAGCATTAGACTGTGACAGGTATTTTGGAGACTTTGAGGGTACACGTGAAAGCATTGCTAGCCATGTCTCAATAGGAAGAAAAAATAATCTGTTTGGGGACAATGCCCTCAAATTAATCAGTACAACATGGAAAATGATACTTTTCAGTAGAATTCCACGATATTCTGCAAGTAAGATTAAGAAACACTTTGTGAAACGGATACTATACTTAATTCTTGCTTTAATCTTCATAAGGAAGATAATATTAGGAAAAAATTAAAAATGAATGTGAAGATATACTTCCCATAATGCCTGCTCCCTAGCAGAAGCCTGAAACTTCAGATGCTTTCTGAAATTTTGTTGTACACTTAAAACCAGACATATTGCAATTGGAGGAGATCTTTAATAATAATCTTTTATTAATGTAGGAAGTGTCCAAGACACATCGTTCTGAAATAAGTTTGTGAGTGGGAAAGAATCAGATGTAAAAAAAAAAAGGCAACACTTAAAAATACAGTAATTATAAGCATTATTTATCAAAATCGCCTAAAGGAGAATATTCTTAAGATGCTTTGAGTATGTTTTGTGTCTATATAGGAAATCTATTAAAACTTAGCAAAAGTCCTATTTATAGCTACAAATACAATGTGTACAAAAAACAATTACAAAAGTAAACCTCTGGGAGAGTTTAAAATCTAAACAGACAAATATAAATGATAAAATACGAAAGAAGGCAATAAAAAAGCAGTATGACTGAATAATAAGGCATTTGAATTGTTAGCCCCAATGTTGCTTTATTTTTTTTAATGTTTCTTTTATTTTTTTTATTTGTTTTAATTTTTTGTGTTTAAAATGCAAAATGGGGTAGGTTACAGAATTAGGAGATGACACATGAATGTATGAGTAGGGAAGGAGTTCAGAAACATCCGTCAACAAAAAGGAAGCAGACATTTTTGAAAAACACTTTTGGTATTCTTTTCAGGAGCCTAGTGAACTCAAAATATGAAAATATTAATCTACCGATGACTCTTCCTCTGAACTGAAATGGCAATTTTCTGTATCGTTAATGACAAATTTAGCAGCATGGTCCTATCACTGCTACCCGCCCTGTACACACAATTGTTTCTAGTAAGTAAATTTTGTATTAATGCAATGTCTGCTTTTAGATGCAACCATTTCATTATTTACATAGGATAAGGCAGTTCATTGATGGCTTCCTACTTCCCTCATAACATTTCATTTGTGGGAGTGGTTCAGAGAATAGAATTCAAATCATACTGGAACGAGCTACAGCACCCATAAGATCAGGGCTTGTCACAGGCATAAAATATGGCTTCTGACTGCTACCACTGTCTTCGATGGTCTTTAAAATACTAAAGTTGAAAAATTGATAAAGATCTTAAAAAGAGGAGGAAACATCCTGTTCTTCATCAATGTTTTGAACATTGTAAAAAAATGTTGGTGCCAAATGTTGGTAGAGAGATAAAAAAGCAAAAAAAAAAAAAAAAAAGGAAAATTTCTCAGGGTAGGAAGACTCTGAAGAGAGCTCTCCTTCCTTCTCACCAGAGGGAGAAACACAGATCCACTGCTCACCTTCCGGTTAGAGAAGTAAATTGGAATTTCAGCTTTTTTGGATGGGTTCAGTTATGCAACTCCGAACAACAGAGTAACACTACACAGCCAATAAAGGCTCGTGAATACTACCATATAGAAGTGAAAGTACCGAAGGGTAAGTAGAATGCCAATTAACTATACTGCAACTGTGACAAGAAATCAAATCAGCGCTAGTCAAATACTTACTTACTAAATGAACTTCAAAAAAAACCTTTTTAAAAATTAATGCTTTTAGTTTTTTTCATAACTTCACTAAAAGTGCAAGACGGAAACTAGCTCAGTAAAGTGAGAATTGGAAGTTGGGTCTTACATGCTTTCTCCTAAGCATTTGTATAGTTGTTATCTAGGAAACACCCATAACTCAACAATTTAAACATAATCACCATTTTCAATTTTCTAAGGCTCAATCAAACTATACTAAACCAGCAGGATGCTGAGGAAAGGAGGAAAAGATAGTTATCTAAAACAGATAACAGTATGGTTAATTTGTTAAATGGCAGCTTCTCCTCTGCTAAACGAAGAGTAGTATAGGTAAAAGCTGATAGAAAAAAATCTCAGCTTCCCCACCATCACGAAACCTTCCCTCCAAAGCTTACAATCAACATAGCAGAATTCTCTTTAGAGCTAGAGGTTGAATTTTAAAAGATTGAACAGATAAATGTATATAAAATTTGCAGTCAAGCGTTAATTAAATACATCGCCCAGACTCTCATTTTCAAAGCCACGTACAGGGAATAATCCTCAGAAAAAATTCCTCTGAAAAAAGTGAAAAGAAAAAAAAAAAACAACCATGCTTAAATTTTTGCCTTTTCTTTTTTGGGGGGCAGGGGAGGGAGGAGATGGAAGAAAGAGAGCAAGTGAGCATTCTTTTCAAGAATAATATCTACACAAAGTGAAGGCAGCATGGTTCACCAATTCAGAGCCAGAGGAAAGACTAGGAACAGAACAAAGACGTGGGACAGAAGAATGGAGGACTCTTCTGTGGCTGGCTGGCTGAAGGAAACCTACTTAGTCATGGCAACCTAGGATACAAAAATCCCATAAACAACAGGGCATTTGTGCATGCAACTCTCTGTACACTGCTCTGAAAATTCATTTTGCTGAGGTTTCTTTCCCTCTCAACTCTTACACATGCACACACTGCACTGCGTGTTAGTAGCTTTCGTATCTATTTAAATGCTACAGCCAAGAAACACTGTGCACATTCACCAGCTCTGCCTTTCTGTAAAACAGGCTGAGAAATTGGCATCTAGTCCAAAAGGACCATCTTACAAAATATTTACAGAGGGATTGAAAGGCCATGCACCAAAATGCCAAAAACCCAATGAAGCCAAGCCTGTTAAAGAATGTGGTTTTGTGCAGTGCAACAAGATAAAAAAAATAAACAAGTATGTATAAACTTTAACTCTCTTTGACTTAAAACTTCGGGTCTTATTTGACCTATATTGCATATTTTCAAACTAAGGCTCTTATTTTTAGAACAGTTCTGAATTAAACCTTTCAAAAAAGCTTGAAGAGTAATGCTGATACTAATACCTTTGGGGTTAGGCATTTTGGCCATTTTAGTCCTGGCACTTTTCCATCAAATTCCAAAAGAAATAAAAAAAATCTACTGAGATGTGATTTGGAAGTCCCAATTGTCCAAATTAATTTGATAAAACAAAAGACACACCTGTTTAACACACCTGGACTTTTATGAATACACAAACTGCAGGATTCGCTACTTGGGTTATTTTTAGAATACTATTTTGCTTACTAGAGTTTATACTCACTTTACGGCCAAAGAAAAGTGGAACAAGTCAAAAGCACAGAGCTATTTAATTTTAAAAGTTTTGTAACATATGTTAAGTCAAAACAAACTACAGCAGGATTTTAGGCTGCATACTTGTTATCGGAAACCTTGCCTGAGTGGGGAAACAGTTCTTAAGCACGCCAGTAAAGATACTCAAGGCACTATACTCACCAGTATGAATCTTCTCATGCCTCTGTAGCAGGTACTTCTGAATGAAACGCATGTCGCACTGACTGCACTGAAATGGTTTTTCACCTTGAACAATATAATTCCACATCCATAAGTTAATAACTACACACTGTTGTTTCTGATAACTACTTTTGAGGATACAAAAAATGCCTATAAAAAACCCAGCATCTGAGCGAATTCCAAAAATATTCTAATACCAAAAAACATTAGTCTTACTAAATAAATGAACTCCAGAATTCTTTCCATGACCCTATCAGTCACATTAATACTAGCATGGAAGAGCGATCTGAAATGGCTGTAATTTCCTCATGAACAAGATCAATCACGATGCTGGCATAAAACTGTATTCAGGACACTGGCAAGCTATTATAATGGTAAGTACCTTTTTCACTTCTCCGAACCAGAGAGATACCTCATCAGGTAGACAAATAAGCAGCCGGAGCACATTTTACAAAGGGGTCAATTTTGGCACTTAGGCTACAAGTCAACCCATTACTTTCTGATAAAGAAAGAAAAGAAACCTTGTAAACAGTTAGGTCTTCAGTTTATTAAACATATGTCGATTTTTTTTTTCTGGTATTCTTTTGACACTTTGGTGCATGGAATCTCTAAGCTTAGATGCCACGTTAGCTACACTCTTAAAACGGAAATTCGCATAGAGCTGAAAACATTTTTAACATAAGTAAACAAATCTTTATATAGTAGAAAAGACAATTTGAAGTCAAGCAGTACCTGTATGAATGAAGACATGTCTCTGTAAATGGTAGTTGGTTCTAAAGGCAGCATTGCAATGCTCACAAACATGAGATTTGTGGGTTTTCAGACCAAGTGATCCATCCTCATTTATTGTAAGGATCTATTTTAAAAAGAGTAAAATTTGTTCTCACACTACCCTCTAAAGACGACTTATTCACTACAAAAAAAAAAACATTAATCTGTTTAATGCAGAAAATGTAAATATTTCAGGTAAACCATGCTAATTTCCACAAAACTATCCGATAGGCTTTTAGTTTACATTGCCAAACGCAGCCCAATCCAACTTGTGTCTCATTGTATTAAAAGATATTTCAACAGGACAGAGACAAAAGCAGGTCATGGAAAACCAGCTTAGAGCTTCCCTATTCATAGCTGAGTCGCTGTATATGCTACTGTTTACTTTGTCCGTCTGGTGGAAAGGAGGTAAAGTAACCAAACCTCCTTCTGGGCACAGAACCATGCTTAATTACATTTCAAAGGAGAAGTGAAATGTTATATTCTTGTTTCAATCACGATTTTAAATGTTTGTTAAAGTGCATTAAAACTTATCCCAGATAGTCATACAAATTATCTACGTCTGCATAATCTCAATAGTCTCAGAGACAAATTGTTTTTAAAAAACAAACTCTCAAAGCCATACAACCAGAAGAACAGTATTATTCTTCTCCCTGTTCAAATTTTTCACTCAACAGAATATTGCTCACACAATACACATGTTGGAGCAGTTCCTTGACAAATTCAACTTTCCACATGCAAGCTTTGGTATCAAAGCAGCTATTTTCATATGAATTTGAAAAAACTTAAACGAACAAGATTTCCACTATATCTATCTCATTCAATAAAGCTCATCACAGGTTTTGTCTATTTGACAAAAATAAAAAATAAATAAATAAAATATAAAAATAAAAAAAAACCCAAACCCCCAAACCCAGCAACAAAACCCCTACTATCTCTGGCAAGAGAATAAGAAAGTTGGCAAGTTACATTTCCAAAAGTTTAACTTAACTGGAAACAGAACTATAAAGAAGAGCTTAAGTAACCTTAAATAAAACAGTTAAATCCCTTGTCATGAGAAAAAAAAAAGGCTGCTGGGGAAAACACATCTGCATTTTGATTAACTAGGAAGTTTGAGGAGTTTATGATAATGATAGTGACGAGAAAGGGAGAGTCAGAATAATCGAAATAACAATTTATCTGTAAAAGGAGCAAATACTGTAGGATTTACTTAAACAGTGTTTTATTCTGCTGCATCAAAACTCAGCAAGGGTGAAATCTTGAGCCAACAAAATCTTGTGCATTCACTCTGAAGGACAAGCACATTCATACGTTTATCAGATTGGTACATTATAGCTCCAATAAGTCACAGATACAGACAATTATAAAAATTCTGTTCTGTATTGATAAGAGTACTAATGAAGCACTGACTGGTTACTTAAATTTAAATACATGTTATGAAATGTTTTTCATATATTATATTGAAATTTTTTAATAACTGTGCAGAAAATATACTTAATTTCATAGACAGCCCAGATCTGGGTTCTACTACTGTATCTATTCACTGCCTCTTAAATTAAGAAAATTAGTTTTGTCAGTGCAGCTTTCCTATTAAAAGCAACAAAAAGTGTATGTATGTTTGTGTACGTATGTGTGCACGCGTGTGCGTGCGTGGGGGGAAGTAGACAGGATTCATCAAAGCTATTGACATTTATGTGTATGATGAGCAAGTTAAAATAAAATAAAATTTAAAGTATTTCAGTATATTAATTGACTTCCATATGTAAAAGCCACAGGGGCTGTTTGGATGGAAAAATCAACCCAAGTACTCTGGGAACACTAACTTAAACTGGAGTCGGCTCTCACCTGTATTAGTCCTTTAGCTTCTTTCTGCCATTGTATTCTTATAAATCTTTTAAAAAGTAGGGGGAAAGTCTGAAGAAGAACCTGTTTAATGATCCTCCTGATCATTTTTCAATCTTTTGTTATCGCAAAAGAATGACACTGACAGATTGGGAGATATAAAGGAAGCATGCAAGTACATGTCTGTTAGAAGAGGGCTACACGCCTCTCCTACCTTGCAAAGTTTCCATGGAAGTGATCTGTGGAGGGTATTCGAACTAGAGCTCCTTTTTTTAACCGAAGGGAGAAGTATCTCAATGCAAAAGATTTGGAACTTGCTGCCACACCCAATCTGAAACAATCTGTCAACTTTCCAAGAATACTACAAACGCTACCTAACTTGACAGTGGTTCAGGGAGGACTGAAAGGTACCTAACCTTGGGAAAACTGCAAATAGGCTTTGGATTTTTTGCTGATGTTAGAGTGGGTTTTCCTTCAATGTATATGCAGTCTGGGCTGATTTCTGAGCAGGCTTATTTTAATGCTGCTGTGTGATTATATGTGTGTGTGTGTGTATGTGTATATTTATATATATATGTGTGTGTGTGTGTGTGTGTGTGTGTGTGTGTGTGTATATATATATATATATATATAAAACTCATTTATTCCTGTCAGAGCATCCTGTATACGTTCTATTTTACATCTGAAGATTAATATTGATTTGGAGAATTACTAGACAATATAACACTGCTGCAGTGCTCGGCCCTCACCTCATTTGGTGCTGTTTTTATCTGAAGTGAGTCTCAACAGAAGAAAATCTAAGCTTTTCAGACATACAGAGGTACATATTCTTCATGAATGGATCTTCAAAACAATTTTTGAATTAACAAACCAGCAGCTATCATAAGGTTCTTTTGATATCAATAAATACATATATGAAGATGATTATGATCACAGGAATATTCCCTACCAGTAGGTTATTTTATATACATTAGTGAACTTTTTAAAATTTTCAAAACTACCATTTTAGGTTTCTTTTTAAGAACTTTTCACTATGCATAAAGCATATATAATTATCAGGCTCACATGAAAGCACAACTATTATTAGATATATACAGAGTAATGATTTATAAGTCGTCTACAAAACTACCGACTCATAATTTAAAAAGCAATGTTTGGAAAGAGAACTGCCTGGAGAGATAGATGTTAAAATGTGTCAAGGGTTCATGTTGCTAAAAAGAGTTCAAAGAAAAACAGTGTTATAATCAGGTTTTGTTTTGGGTCTCTGGTAAACTTCCAAACTGCATCTTTACTGAGCAAACAAACAATTTCCAGCCTAACTACTTCAAGTGCTAATGAAATTAGTCATAGTCAACCAAATCTTCAGGTTCTTTTAATCTTGGTTTTGCCAAATCAATGTCTTACTTTTGCTGGTGAACGCTGTTTTCTTTTCTTCTTTTTCTGCAAATCTACTGGCTCTCGTATTTGTTTTTTGTCTCGTTTCTGTTGTTCAGATGCATCAGTAAAGGTAATTTCTTGCTTTACACTGATCTGTTAAGATACCAAGTGCCAGTTTCAGGTAAGGTTCTCACTACAGAAAAGCAATCTTTCAATTTTAGAAGATGACAAACTGCTGAAACAGAAAACCTTTTTCTAAGGGAATTATCTTGTGGTTTCATTCTTTCAGAAATTTGAGTGAAAGGAATAATAAGTATCTTAAATAAAAAGGGCATAGTTAATTTCTACAGTGACATTTTGATGTATCCTTTCATTCATCTCCGAATGTCTTTTTTCCTTCTGACCTGTGGTGATTTTGAGATCAGTTGTTATATTAAAATCACTTCCATCTGTACAACCATTCAGTTTTTCATACCTATTTTACTTTAGTCCGTGTATTGTCAATGCAAGATTTAACGGAATAGTTTATTATAGATATTTAAAACAAAGAGTATTTTTTTAAGAAAACAAGAATAGTGCTAATGAAGTTTTTTTCCAAAAAATATTTCTTGATCTAATGTAAGCTTTAATGAAGAGCAGGATATTCTTACATTTTTCTAACACCTGAACCATCTGATCTACAGCTAACAGCCTAATGTTTTAACAATGCTACCTTTATAAAGATTATTCTTCATATATAAGGCTATCTACTTTTTAAGTCCTTGTAATTATCCTTTATGTTTGAAGGGTAACAGTGATGATGTGCTGTATTACAGATAGACACTCTTTTTTCAAAGGAAGTCATCTACATTCTCTCTGGGATAGATGAGGTACACCTTCTATCAGGTATCAAGGAGGGGCATATTTATGGTCATGTATGAAGTGTCACAGTCCAACCTGCAGTGTGAATGCAATTGCTAAGCGTCCACATACTCTGAAAATATATATAAGAAAATGCTTCCTATAGGCAAGAGACACTAAATTGTACCATGAACAGCATAAATGGTATGCACCTTTTAATACTGCTATTTATTCTGGTTTGTAGTTACCCTTGACATTAAATATCTTTAAAAGAGCATATTTTAACTCATCAATTCATATGGTAACAGCCTGATTATAAAATATTTATAAAACAGATACTAAAAGATTATATTTAATTAGCAAATTTTATCCACAGCCAGAGGCAAATGACATTTTCATAAATAGCATCTATTCATAAATATTTTGATAATCAAAATCCAAACAAGCAGTTAATAAATTCTTGCCAGAGTAGAATAAGACTACCAAATCATGCTTCCTAGTAATTTCTCCATATTTCACAAAGAAAGTGCTTACAGGGACATTCACAGCATACTGCAGCCCTTGAGGAAGTCTGTCTTGGGTATCCATGTCATCATCATTTTTTACCGTCTCCTCATGGACCATGAGTTCATCATGTGAAATCATCTCTTGCTGTCGAAGTTCACTTTCCTGTAACACTTCATCTGTTGCAAGAATTTCTTGGTGCGCCATAGTCCGATCTTGAAGCACTGCCTCTTGCCGTTCTCCCGACACTCCAGACTGGTCGGATACTGCACCCATCCCTACCATAGCCCTGGATGACTGCATTTGGTCTATGCCACCACATTTAAGAAATAATCCTCCCAGCTTGTCTTCAATGTTCATTCTTAAGTGCAATAACCTACAAAGAAAGTTTTAATAGTAAACATCTAAAATTGGTGCTCTTACTTAAAATTTTTATTTAAAAACATTTCGCAAGAACTCAGTCGGTACTCAACACACATGCACATACTCCTAAAACTGATACCCACATAAAACTGAAATGCTGGATATCTTGAGTCAGCATCATAATTCTCTCACCCTCAGGCATATATACACAAACATACACTTTCAAATCAAAAGTTTATAACTAAGTGCTTTTTGATTACTGGAAAAGTTATTACTAAATGACAGCTAGAATGAATTTAATTCTCCTCCTGATGCCTTAGAAAATGGCTTCTTTTTCGTGTCCCTTTTATTCTGTTTTCCTCTCCTGTTTTGATTTATCTTCTAGAGATGCCTCTTCCATTTTTATCCTGCTCTCCCTACTTTCTTATCCTTTAAGGGCTCTTTTACCATCACTGCCCCGGGGGCATACTCTAGCTGCTGGAACAGCAAAAAAGAGAAAGGGCAACATTTTAGCTAAAGGTATATGTTAAGAAGGACTAGGGAGAAGTCAAATTTGTTTATAAAAAGGGTATTCATTTCCATACCAACTAAGCCACTGGAGCATTAGTCAGAAAATATGAATTCCAGTAGTGCACAGCAATACCATTGCATTGATTGATGATCCACATGTAGGTTAAAAAAAAAAAAATCATAATACTCCAAACAGCCTCATGGCATTATCAAACCATTTTAACAGGAGGCAGTAGGGTTCGGTGAAGCTGAAAGTGGTAGCTTCTACTTATTCACCTTGCTTTTTCCCAGTTGACCTGATCTTGCTAGAAGGCCGGGACACGGCCCTCTAGGCTTCACTGCAAGGTAGTCCTAAGACGACTCTTCTCCTCGGCATACTGGATGTCCAGTCACCACAGCATCATCCTCCTTCACGCTCCTCCCCAGGCCCCCAGATTCCTACCCACGCCACACACGTCGGCTCTGCTCACTCCTTCAGACTCCCTTCCTCCACCCCTCCGTTTTCCCCAAGCTGGAGTGGAGAGGCTACACAAACACCACTGCCTCCATCATAGCAATAGGGGCAGAGGCACAGCAGAGCTGAACAATACAGAACAGGCCTAGCCAAAATACACGACAGATATCGCAGGGAGCATTATTATAGCATCAGCACCTTTAAAATCACAGATGCATTCAGAATTATGATATACATGTGATGTTGGTCTATTACCAATTACCAGCTACATATTCTTCCTCCCTAACAGCGCAGCATGGGAACAGGAAACAAATCAGCGGCTCCATCTCAATTCAAGCCTTAATCAGAGGCTACTTTTCTCTCCCTACAGCTCCAGATGACAACTAGTAACCAAAGAAGTTAAAATCTCTCTCTGCCTAGAATACAGCAGGGACATCACCTTGCAGAAATTCTACACGAAAACCCAGTTTCAATTTAACACCCTGCCGACTTGCAAAATGACTGGATCAAACAAATATAGATGTAATGTTTAAATTCCAATTTTTAGTTTCATCACAGAAACCACCTTCCAAAGCATCTTCTTTATCTGAAAAATCTTCTGAAAATTCTAGATATATCTTAATCCGTTGTGAAGATTAGTGTATACCAAACTATGGTGAGTTTACAAAATAAATAGCAGCCCTTCCTCAGGCGAGATTCTGGAGTCTCTGCAATCCACTAGCAGAACTCGCTGATGAAGATCTCACAGTTCTTCTACATTAGACTTTGTTTCAAATACTACTATTAGTTCTTATCTTCTGCAAGTAAAATTCAATTTCTCCAAAAAAACCCAAACATAAAAAGAAAAAAAAACAGCTTTAACATCTTCTAGTAGTAATTCATGCAGTATAAGTCAAAAGTGAAAGAATGTTTGTCTCTATTCTCTGTCATGACTTTCTGAATTTCTGTACGTATCACAGAAAGACTGACTGACAGGATGTTCTGATAAGTACATTTCTGAGTTTCACATAAATAAAAGGTATGCCAAAGAAAGAAGCTTTTCAGTCAGCTACAGATTTTCTTTTAGTAAGCCTTTCTCTGCTGGAAGTCAGAACGATGCGGTCACCAAGCAAGATCTGTTTGTTTATACACAACAACGTCATCAAAAATTTTACTAATTTTCATTCCTGTGCAACCGTAGCCCAAGTTCTGGAACGCAAGAGAGCAAAGAAAAAAATCTGAATTATTAATAAGAGAAGCTAACTGGTTTTTAAAACGGGAAATACGAGACAGAAATATTTGAGACAAAAAAGTGCTGGCTGATACTCTCTACATCAACAGTCTAAACCTTTTAGATAGCAAACTAGCGATGAACATTTTCACTGAACAAATAGCCTGGGATATCATACAAATAGCACCTTTCAGAATAGCTATCCTCCAAGATTTTATTAAAACTACTAACAACATTACAAGGTCTTACGAGAGAAAACTCCACAAAAGCGAGTTTCAGTGGTTCCGAAGCATATTGCCAGAAGCAGGGACCCACAGTCTGGAAGGCCAGCAGAAGCGATAGCAGCCAACAAACCTCGCGTTCTGGGCAAGAGTCCTGCAGGCCAGCCTGTGAAACAGGAGGAAGCGCGAGCGTTGGAGTTGGGGGGGGTGGGGGGGGGAAAGGATTGTGGAAAGAGACGCTGCTGATTCTAGTAAACTAAGTTTTCAATTCTCGGAGGACAGCTTCTTCCAACTCTCCCTACCTCTTGCCTAGTTAAGGCTCTGTAGATACCGTACATTGACAATGAGACAAGATTCCCATTTCAGTCTAGTTCTTTTAGCAACTTTTCTTCATATTGGTCAGTAATCCAGCGGCTGACCTCATTCTGCATAAAATATTGGGAAGAAAGAGATAAAACCTTGGGAAGTACTGACCAGCAAGCACAACGGCTGAAACAGCTGTTGCCCAAAATAGTTTTTTCTATATCATATCTGAACAAACTTCACCATTTTTTTTTAAAGAGTATTCTCTAACAAACCTTCACAAAGCACCACCTCAGAAGGTTTTGGGGAGGCTTTTCCAGTGCACCTGCAGCCAAAAGCAGGTATTTATATCAGACTGTTGCTATAGATGCAATAAACACATCTTAAGGACCAAAAAAAGCCTGTGACAGGCAGAGAGGAAGGGAAAACTACTGCTCAGAACATTTGGACTTGCATTTTTTTCATTGTTCTTCTCTGCAATTTTAATAAGAGGAAGTTTGAACTCTTACTCTTCATCTTCACAGCTACCATCTTCAAATGAGGAAGACAATTCTGTAATGTCTTAAATGGGGTCAGGTGGTACTACGCGACAAACTTACTTCCAGTTAATCCACGCTATAAAAAGAGAATGAAATTTCACACATCTTAAAGGGAAGGTGTGTGTCTGGTATGCCACACAGCCCCCTACAGGCATTTAATAAACCATGCAGTATTTTTTGGAGGAAACTGGGAAACCCTATTGATGGTTTCTTAGCAAAAATACAAATTAAAAAAAAAAAACAAACCTTGGTATAGCATGAAGGTTGTTTCTTTCACTAGTGCAGGTCTCCTAGAGAGATCTTGCAACAACAGATCTTAGTCATCCTAACAGAAGGAAACAAGGATGAAGTTATCATCTTCTGTGTGGAGAATCTTGAGTCAAGTAAGAAATGTGAGAAGGAACTGAAGGTCTTAAGAATCTCTCTCCCACAGAGTCGTCATTTGATAAAGGAGCTCAGGTGGAGGCCGGTTTATTAGGGCAGTCCTTTCAGAAACGTTAACGTGAAAGATCCAGACTCCAAGGAAATGAACAACAAGCAGATACCTACTATTTATTCATTTCAGCCTTTATCCCAAATTTATCCATATTCAGGACACATCTTATATTGATCATCATTCACTGCGATATCGTTCCATGCTACAGATATGCAACAGCATAAGCTCGCTGCAGATTCTTTACAGGAATAAGATGGACAGGTACTAGAATACAGGAACTCAAGATGCTGAAACACATTCTAGGAAACAAAAAACAGTATCAAGTGTGAAAACACGGTGACCCTAATCTGCCTGCTCAAGCCACTGACAAAAACAGCTCAGAAGGTTGTTCCAAATGCAAGATACCGCCACATCACTCTGAAATTAGGCATAAATTGAGGAAATCCTGGATTTAAAGCGATATCCTGACAGGAAGGTAAGCAGACAAATAAAAATGGGGACATCGAGTGTTGCAGAACGCTCAAGAGCCAACTAGCCTCACCAGCAGAGGCGGACAGACTTGTAGCATGCAGAATCTTAGGACAGCTGACAAGATACAGCAGCTGTCCAGAAGGCAAAATAGCTATATACAGTATTTATTGGTACTGTTATTTCTCTGAATTGTCGAGGAAATGGAAATTTTTTTTCCTCACTCTGACTAGTAGGCTTAGTACAGTCATGCAACTGAAAGCATTTAGCTGTTTTCCAACCATGATCTTGAGTCATATCAGATGCTGGTACGGGGAGCATACTGGTTATTAAATCAGGCTTTCAAACATCTGCCTTTTCATACAAAAATAATGAGAACTCACAGCGTTAGGCTGCATGGTCTAGGTGATGAAACACAATGCAAATTACATGAAGTCCAGGTACTATCTGAAGAACCACAAATAAAAATAAGCAATTAATCCAAAAGAGAAGTATCTCAATTGCAATCATCTCAGCAAAAATAAGTGTCATTTGTCAGCTGACAAAAGAAGAGCTCACAAAAGAAGAATCCTATCATTTCAGTTGAAGAGGAGGAGAAAAAAAAAGTGTTCTTGGAGGAAGGACAATTTGATGAATGCTTTTAACTTAAGTTTCTTCAAACAGATTCACTTTACCAAGCCTGAAATAGATTAAATATTTTAAGTGCAAGATGCATCTGTGAAATAAAGATCAACTTATTCGGAGATTATCTTGAGTGAAGCTACAATAATATAAACCATATAAGAGCATAGGTAAGTACATTTCTTGGCATAAAAGACTGTTATTCTTATTGCAGAAGTATTTTCCACGGAATTTCAGAACTTTTTTTTTAAGCTTTAGCAAATAATCATAAGATCTTGGCATTTTCTTTGAAAATACAGTTTCTCAATGTGCTGAGAAGAAAAGAAAGCCAATTAAAAGAGCTGTATTAAAGTATCCATTTTGCCTGGTAGAGGTTCTCCCAACCTTTGCCTTAGGCAAAGCATTTCACAAGAGACTTCTTCAGGCTGAACTTCACGGATACACTCCTGTTTTGGGGGAGGAGAGAGGGGAAGGGGCGGGACTGCACAGAAATAGTCTCAGAGCATCCCAGCACCTTCTCTTTTGACACACTGCTCAACAGCTGCTTGCAGAACATCTGCAGCCAGTAAACCATGTTCCTTTGCTTCAAAAGCTGCTACCATGGCAAACCCTACAGCAGTACTTAAAACTACTCATTTCAGTAACCCCGACATCTGTTTTTCCAAAGATTACTGGTGCGGTATATGTTGGAGAGCTAAACAGTAAAGACAATATTTTTAATTAAAGTAACAGCAATTTAAGCAAAAACAGATTAAATGAAAAGTGCAACCACCCTTCCAATTCAGAACAAAAAATTAAAACACAATCAACAGAAAACATCACTGGATAAAAAAAATGCTGCCAGGATGCTGTCTGTTATGCAGTGATGGTGACATGCTGAAGGAAAGAATCAAAATTTGTTTGTCATCAGATACAGTGCATGAGCCAGCTTTTTTCTCCACCCTGACTGATGGCCGGTAGGAGGTATTGTCTTCTCCCTTCTTTTCTTGAACGAGTAGAAAAGCTTTGTTTAATAATGAGCAAGCACCCAGAGGTACTAAGTGGGTTTACTCATAACATAAATACGTGCAGTACTAGGCTGAGTCTCTAGATTAGATTTAAAAGATTACTTATGAAAGATGAAGAAAGAAAATACTTTGAAGGATTAATAACTGAGAGACTAAGTATCAAGACCATCTGCATTTTAATATCTGTTTGCAGAACAGAACTATTTTAATATTTTTGCTTTGTTTTTAAAGAAAGATAAAGATCTAACTGTAAACAATTTCCTGCAAAAGGTTTTGGTGTTCTAAGTCTTCTGCTTTCTTTTAAGCATTAAAAAGCAGAAGTTGCTACGTTCTATAACCATATCCCACTCCATTTCTTTCCTATATTATCTTTTCCCTGGTTTTCAAAGGCAAAATAGAATGAAAGAAGGCAATTGAAAGTTTGTTGAAATTCAACTCTTTTTCTTGGAAAAACCATGTTTCCTTCTGAAGAGTTCTACCAAAGACTTGAGATAGAAATAGTACTACCACATACAATCACAAACTTCCTTTGACTGTATTTTCTATGATTCAACATCCCAAACACAAAAACCAGGAAGCAAAATGGAAATTCTAACATGCCTTTAGCAACTAGATACCATTCTGACAAAAACATCTACCTCCAGGATTCCTTTCACAAAAATCGAGACAGAGTTCAATTCAAGGTATTAGATGTCTTCAAGGTAATCTCACATTGGAAGTCATCCAATGACATTTTTTAATTTAGCTCCACATTTGGGAAGTATGTTTTAGTTCAGTTCAGGCAAGGCTGACTTCCTAATAAGTAAATACCTGAAGCTACACAATACGCATCTGGGTACATTCCTACCACGTCCTGTCTTCTACAGCAGCCTTTAGAAGAATGAGTGCATGCTGGAACCAAACAACAAACTATATAAAGGCTACTAGTAAACTAGTACTTTATGTAGTATAACGTACATAAAGAAAGCTTAAAAAAGGCAATATATGGAAACTCCTAAGCATATTATTATCTCTTAGGGCCCATCTCTATGGTAATACTACAACGATTTGGGCTAAACTGTAAACGTAAATGAATATGAAATAGATAAATCTATTGAGCTCTGCAAGGGAACACTCTTATTCCAGTATTGATTTTTTTCCCCTTCCCTATTTAGAATAACTCACTTTGGAAAGGTTTAAGCTAAATAAAAGAAGCAAGCTATTATATAATCAGAGGGTTTTAATGGCACTGCTAGTAAAACCTTTCTATGTAGGCAAACTCCCATAAACAGCAACTACAATGGAGACGCTACTAGTGAGCTACTGCGCCAAGAGAAGTTCACTTTCTTCTCTCAAAAGGGGAAAATTAAACCAAATAGACTGTGAAATTCAGATAGAGATACAAACAAAACCCATTCCAATGAGACATTTGGCACATTTTCTTATTTAGAAGAAGTCAACCCAATTCTTAATGGTGCAGCTGCAAGAAACAATGTGATATATGGGCTATCTGCCCAAAGGGGTAGCTCCTTGCCTATCGCCTCCAGTTCAGCCTTCTTGTTACCTTCATTGTGCTGGTCATAGCAACGTGCAACGATGAAGGCAGCTGGACAAAAACATGCCCACCAGAAAAGCGATTAGCTTTCATTTGGATCAGTGGGACTATGCAGGCAGAGGGTGCAGGAGACAAGCAAGTGAAGAAGCAGGGAAGAGAGAGAAAGACTGCTGCTTTCAGCAGCAGCCAGTGGTTAGATTAGACTAAAGCAGCTTGTGAAACTGCTCCACAAGAGCAACATACACACACAAGCAGAAGAGTTACAGCTGCCACGCAGACATACCTAAAAGTCATGCCAAATTTAAATCAGGAGAAAAATGCATATCTACATTCTCAAAGCTTTCTTCATAAAAGGAACTATAAATTCTGCAACTCCTAAAGCTAAGGAAGAAAGAGATAGCAACATGGCCTGATACCATATTAAAAACTACAAATGCCTAATTTGTGTTTTAAATTTAGCATTACCACCAATAAAACTGCCATCAACACAACCCTCTCCAGAAGAAAGAAAAAATTCAAACTTGACTCCTTCCTAACGCCCATTTAAAAACTCTATCAGATCCCAAAGACATGTTGAGTATTTTCACATCAGAAAAGATATTTAGTTTTATTATTAAAAATATGGATCTATTCCAACATAAAAGGGAAAAAAAGCTAACTTTCACAATATCAAAAGCTGAAATTTAAACATTCTGTGGAAGTAAAAAATACCCTAGTTAATGCTTCTAAATGAAGAATAGTAAAGATATTTATTAGCTGTACTCCCCACTTGGAAAACAAGATACGAGTGAAAAATACTGAAATTAACATGTAAGTGTAAAGTATCATTTGTAAGAATGAATTAAAGTGTGTTGACTTGCAAAATAGAAATTAATCGAACATAAATCATTGTGAAAATGTTCTCAAATCATAAAACTAACACATCCTAAAATGCAACATAAGATACAAGCACTCTTAAGACTTGTTGCACAGTTATTTCTAAATGCCCTGTGTTGCTGAACACATGTCAGTATGGGACCTGATCCCACAAAGATTTACAGTCATACTGAGCTGTGAATAGTCCTATTACAATCAACAGGATTACTCACAGAAAATCTACTTATTGTGCATAAAATTATCCATGCGTGAAAATCTTTGCCACCTTGCTTATTTTAAATTCAGTATTAGATCATCACCAGCATTACCACAGTGTAACATCCAAAATATGCATCTCAGAAAGCTTTCGATATTATATCAACAAAGCCACAGTTACTTGTTAAAACCCAGAAACATATGTAGAGCAAACATACTTAAAGTACTAAAAAAAAATCATAGGCAATATTATTTTTTATCTGGAAAAAGCTCATCGATTTTGTGGTACTACATGATCAACTACTACAAAACAGTTAATTTTGAGAATTTCTATTAGAATTTCTATCACTGTACAGTTAACACCAAAAGAACAAAGCAGGATCTCTGGCCTTACACTATGAAACACAGATGTTCAAAAGCGCTCACTCTGGAGATTTCAGATGATTTTTATATGTAGGAAAGACAGCACTACACATAACTCTGGTTACCCACCATTTTCTAAATGCTTTTAATGGTTTTAAAACTTCAGTCCAGTTGGTTAATATCTGATGAAATTTCATATATCATGGGCATGCCTCAAGTTCAATTTTTGGAAAAATATTTCAGATAAAATATATCAATTTTTTTATGACATAGTTATTTGTCATAGCTAAGACAATCTAACAGCTAATTGTCATTGAAAGAGACAGTCCTGCTCCCTTCTCTCATCTCTGAGATTCCACCCTACCTTTTGTGCCTACTCTGATGCTCATATGATTGCACATAGTTCACCAGTCTAGCAAAAAAAAAAAAAATGTTTATTTATTTATTAGTTAAATTTTCTGCCAGGTTAACTCACTGAGTTGATCTACCATAAAGACAGTGTATCAGAAGCAAAGAGAGTCTGGGCCCTTTCCAATTCAGCAATCACAGGGTAACTGGCTCAGCCCATCTTACGGAATTGCACCTTGAAAATAAATGGAAAAGAAAAATATGTTGCTTTAAAAATACTGTGGTAACTTTTTCTGATAAGCCCTTAAATTTCTTGGATAAATTCCTGAGTCTCACTACTCCACTACTATTAGCAAATCTGTGAAGCATTTTTTCCCATCGCTAGCACCATGCTGTGCTGTTTTACAGAAGATGACAACCTACTGTTGCTATCATTTACCCTACTGGCTCAAATGGCAAAGGTCTATATATATGTACATACAAGAGAATTTCTGGTGGCTTTTCCAGATTGCTTTTTAAAAACCTCTAAAACACTACACACAAAATCCTAAAAGAATACAAGAAATTGCATGCATACATAAAAAAAAAGTCAGGGACTGCCAGCATTACGGTTCCTTATTTTACCATAATTTGCCCCTCTAGCCTATTGGCACTGTAACAACACTTTTTAATTAAAATATTTGTATGTATTTTTTCTATAAAGCATTGTTTCCTTCGACACACCGGATAGATCTGCTCCATAGAAGAAGGTGAGACCAGTGAGACTATGTAGTTAGGGAGATTATAATATACTTATTCCGTTTGTTGTGAAGGCTGAAATGTGTGTAAATGAAACAGGGACAGCAGGAAAAGAAAGGATAGTCATGACTATTTAAGCAGTTGAATGTTCTCTTGCAAAACAGGACTCTATCCTTGATCTTGTCAGAGAGATATGTAATTTTACTTTTTTGTTTTCTAAATAGGTGATCAATAATTACACTTCTCTCATTTTCTGGGTGCCTGACACATTTAGGTCAGATTTACAGTAAATGCTGAACATTCAAGGCTGCAATTAAATCAATGACAGCAATCCTTTTAAAATATAAAGAGGGATGCAATGCTGTACGTCTTATAAAGAAAAAAAAATCCAGTTTTTAAAGATCTCTATGAGCATCCAGACCAAACTCAAATTTTGATCCAACTCCCAAGCATCAGTTCTCCAACCATAAACACAAACAAAAGTATCCATTTCATTTCTCTGAGGCATAGTGAAATACTTGTAACAATAAGCAATATTCAGGTCACCAGGGTGAACTAATCAGTTTATAGTATTCGTGTTCCTGCAGCAAACACAGTTCATGAGGGGAGAAGGTGGCATACACAAGACAACAAGGTAAGCCTGCATCAGTCACTTTGGCAAATACTGCAAAAGCCAGACAAGTGGGGTCCAGCCTCTCTTGGGATCTAACCACTGATCAGAAAGCATACTAGCATGTTTTCAGCCAATGCAGAGTAGCTAGTTCCGTGGAGAATCACCAGAGGAATTTGGCATCACGGACATAAGACTGTCATCAGGAAAAAATAAGCAGGATAGTGTGTGACTAAAGAAAAAACACTGGCTACAATCATAATGATGTAATAAAACAGTAAGAGATTTGGCTTCTTTTCTCAGTTTTGCCATTGCTGTTGAGTAAATCTGTTATCTTGGCATTTCCCCTCCCTGTATTTCCATTTCCTCATCTCTAAAATGGGGGCAATGACCCACCTAGTCCTTAGGTCTGAAGAGACCAGTAGGAACTATTTATGAGGGCCTCACAAACCTGGTGATAACCATTACAGGAAGTCCACAAAGAAATATAGCCATTCTGTCTTCAGAGCAAGATTAAAAAGAGCACAGTAAAAGAACACGTACTACGCAATGAGAAGAAAGCAAAATACTGAGCAGCTGCTGATTCAACAAGCACCACGTATCCTGCACACTCAATAAAGTGCAGGATTACATATAAGATGTTAAAATATGTATAAGGATACATATAAGATGTTAACATTACGGTGGCATAGGTAAGCTCCATGCTGCAATTTTAATGTTTAAGTGCCTGACTTGCACCTAAAAGGGTTCTTCTAAGACATGCTTTTATTGACTGCAATTTCTTTATTTCAGCTTAATTGTTTTCTAAAAGGCCACCTATAGGCATTAAAAATTAAAATAATAATTAAAGAAAAATTCAAACTTCATAACTTCAGGTAAACTAAATAACATTGAGCAATACACTAAAAGTATAATGAAGAAGATTTGGATCCAAGAACCTTTACGTTACCAGCAGAAGCTGTTTCAGAGATTCTGGAAGACATCCCTCATTTCTACAAATGACACCATGAGGAAAACTTTTAGGCAAAAATATTAGCACTGATCTGGTCCATAGGTGAAAAAGACATGAGTAACTGAGACAAAACAAATCTTAAAGAGCACAGACAATATTTCTAGAACTTATTTAAGTATCTGAAAGTATTATCTCAACATGGTCTCTCAGCCTGTGAGGACAATACAAACGTCTTAGAATATAGGAATCATTCTCATAAGTAGCAATTTCAACTGCGGGAGGCAGATGTGCACTAACTACACATTTATTTCCGACTTCATTATGGTAACCTTATTCAAAGGTAAGGTTACATTCTGTGTAACATCTAGAAAAAAGTTCCGAGGGCGATCGTTGGCTCTCTGTAGCCTAACTTTTCACATGGTGGTACAGGCAAGAAACGTTTTCTCATTTAAATCTGCCAAGGAGGCTGCGTCTTATCCTAACACAGCTTTATTTTTATACGTATTTACTGTATTTCAGCCATGTTTCAACCTTATCTTTCACCTGCACACGAAACTGTAACCTCAGAAAATCCAATTAGCTCAAAACACAGTAGAATACCTCTTTAGTAAAAGATTCACTGCAGACAGTTCAAACAAGTTCTCCGCTTCCTACTTTGTTTTTCAGACACCACAGTGCTACCTTCAGCGGCCACCTTTCAAAGCCATGAGTGGTCTGGGCCAGAATACCTGAAAGAGCCCCTCTAAAGCTCAAAGATGCAGATCACAGTTGACTGCTCCACTCCTCAAACTTAACAGTACTACTCTGTCTACAATAAAAATAAAACCCTTTCAGAGACCTCTTAAATAAGACTAACTCACTTAGCGTTAAAAAATGTTTAAAACTGTAGAAAATAAACTACTTTGAAAACTAAAATAAGTTTATCTGCCTCGCTTTTGCTAACATAAGTACACAGCAACACACACAATGCAGCCAATGGAAAATATACGCCCATGTAACAATCCCCTGAGAGAAGGAAGAGAGAAGCACAGGTGACAGTTACTAATCATAACACACAAGACATTTCTGTAAGGCTTTTGGACCCTTCAGCGATGACAGCTGTGTAAGAATATGAAAACAGTAACATACTCAGGCACAAGCAGTGCCTCAGAAGTAGGCACTGGGTAGCCCTCCCTGTCTTTTCATGCATGAAGAAAAACAAGGAGTAAAGGATCTTGCGATGCTCCACTGGGGACACCACCGACCAACAGCAAACAACAGCCTACCGCTGTTCTTCAAAGTGTTCAACTAGTTATGAACTGGGCACTAAGGAGCAATTTTCCTCACAAGAATCAGGGATTGCAGCCTAAGCAACTACAAGAGCATTAGGACGGTATCAAACATCTTCATCAAGAGTAAGTGGAAGAGTCAGCACATAAATGGACATTCGTTAGTATTAAAAGACAGTGTGAAATAAGCCAGAGTGGGGAGGAGTGGAAATAAACTCTGAACTGACAAAACTGAGCAACTAGGTCACTTTCTCAAAGAATACCGTTAGAACATAAACATATTATAGACCAGATGAATTTGCCAAGACAACATAGGCATTTTAAGCAGTACACTCCTGTACAATTAGGTTTTTTTCTTCCTGTTGCAGCAACAAGTCCATCACCATCCTATTGATAATCAACATCTGTGGTCATACTAAATCAACTAAGAGCTATTCCTGTCCTACTTGCATAAAATACTAGAATTGTAAATCAACCTTTTTTTTTTCCAATTTAGTTAATCCTCACTCCAAAGGAAAAAAAAAAACTGTGAAGTCAAGTAACTACTAAATCCATTGCGCTTCTGCAGTATATCGTCTTCACAAGATTATCAACAACCCCAGCTAGAACTTCCAGGTGATTTTTCACCTTAGTACTCCAAGAACTTTATGAGAAAGAAATCCTGTTAACTTTTATCACATAACCAAGGTATGATACTCCTCATCAGTATTTTACATACCTCAAATAATTTTAAAGCGCAACCCCATTTTAGATTAAGGCAAGTCAAACTTGAAATGTCTAGAAGCCATTAAATAATAATATAGACATCCTGGCCCATTAACTAATATTGAAAACGATCCAAATATGAAACTCAGATTTCTCAGGACTGTGCCCTCTTGTAGGAAAAGACTGCGGAAATTGGCAATGACACTGGTACCCTGAAGCTAATTCTCACTAATTAAATACTAGGATACTCTAAAACAGGAATTCAGACTGATCAAAAGATCTGATTTATCTTTAAAATAATTCCTATAAATTAGGAACAAAAATCTTGAAGGTTCTTGATGCCATTAATTCTCAGGCCAACAATTAAGAGCTATCATCCCAAACAGGTCTGAAATTTCTTAGAGCCCATAGTCAAGTAACTTCATGATGAAGCCAAGTCTTAATGAAACACATTCAATACAATCGATACTACTAAGCAAGCAGGAAACGAACCTGTAGAGTAAGAAAATGTAACTTACAGGATTTTGGATAAGTAAAAATTCACCATGTCCTGTGTTTACAGACTATTTTCCAGACACCATTTTATCATCTGACCTCATGAAGAGTCTCAAGTCCTCAAACCCCAGACCATCAAGTGTAGCTGCGCTAACTCCGGTTCCCACAATGCACAATGCAAAGATCTCATAAGCAAGAGAGTGACAATTTGGGGAGAAGCTGAAGATGTAAGCACCTCAGCCAAGCCTGCTGCGCTACACTTGTGCCTAAATAAAGACTGAAAATGAAGAGCTGTTCAATCTTATAGCAAATTTCAGCCATTTAACACGTGCAATTACAACAAATCCCATCCTTTTTGCGTATGCAGCCTTACTGCT